TCTTTCATTTAAAAAGATCAGCCCCTTAGTCCTGCAATCAGTTCCATCTGTATTGACCCTCTCAAAGATCTGTCCACTCCATTGCAATTTCAATGTTTGTCCTTAAATGTGAAATGTTGAACAGTTCCTGGTTCAGTTTTTACGTTAGAAAATGAGCTAAAAGAAGCTCTAAGGTCCACAAGCTTCCACTTGCCATGATGGATATGGAAGAGAATGTTTAATGCTGATTTTTTGTGTATGTTACCTTCTTATCCCTCACCCCACTTCACCTATTATCACTTATTTACCTATCCTACCCCTGTGCTGCCTCACACAGAGTTAGCAGAAGATGTATAACAGGTTAGAAAATCAAGAGTATGTTAACTTAATTGGTTCCATCCATGTCTTACAGACCCAAATATATTTTTCAACAAAACAATTAAAGTGGTTTGAGGCAATAATATGCATCTTGATATATGCAGCTCATCCAGAGCTTTAATGCCTTTTTTATTCCTTCTAATCTGGCTAATATCCTGACTTTGCAACATAAGAAAAGCAGTTAATGGTTGCCGAATTCAGTATTCAGGACCAGAACATGCAACCAAAGGACCCTCATGAAACCTGCAGCTGGACAAGGAGCAAGTGCTGCCCTTCACTTCTGACTGAGATGACCTTGCAGGATGTATTTTTGGTAAGAAAGAGGATAAGTTTCTCTTCTAGCTCTCTATCTGTCTAGCAATGAGAGATTCCACATTCAGCTTTTACTAGAAACTCTGCAGCTAGGGCTGCCTTCTTCCTCAGGGAATGATAGTGAATTCAGAAGACTCTATCCCACAACAGCTCCTGAGGCAACTGGAGAGAGAGTGACTGCTTCTGAGAGTGAGTTAAAGCACTCAATGAGGCTCTAGCTCAGAACTGCCTCTCTCCCCTGGCTAAATAGGCTCACTTGTGGAACTTTTTAATGAAGCAATAAACTTTCCCACCTACCTTCTGCAGTGGCAGTGCTGTGTTAGGGTTGCAGCATTTGTACCAAATGGATTTTA